AAGGTAGATACAGTGTAATTAAGTGAAAGCCTTTTTTATCTGCGTTTTGCGACAGCTCTGTGCTTGTGTCATCAGCTGCTGTGAACGTCTTGAAAAGTGTGTTGCATCTTTAATGCAGCTCTCATTAACATGCTTAAGCATTCAGCCACATCATTCTATTCCCTTTGGTTGCAAACAACTTTATCTTCTGTCAAAACAGCACCCTTCTTCAATCATAACTCTAGTCTTCTGTGATAAAAAATTCCACATTTGACCAGAATGATGGGAGGCTCAGAGGAGAACTCATACAGCCACGCCTGGACAGTGCTGTAGACATAAGCTTACACCGGCCGGGACACGCTAATCACTGTGGTTGAAGGAAACAGTATCTGGCACAGAATTAGTCCAGGAGACAGTCACATGTTCTCTACGGTTGAAGTAAGTATTTATTGAAAAACAGCATAATATATAAAAAACAATGAAAAATACAGTTTGAAAAGGGAATGGATGAAGGATTATTGGACTACAACCCCTCTCACGCACACACACACGCACGCACACAGACACACACACACATGCACTTCCACATGTATCTCGTTTCATGCTCTGGGCATCACTGTCTTTCATCCGTGTGCAAGATTTTTTAGAGGGAAAAGTTAGATTCCCCAGCTTTAATCTTTGTGAGTCAGGCAAAGAAAGTTGACAGGGAAATAATAATTTCCACAAAATCAATTGAATTCTATTTTTGCAGCCCAAAATCACAACCTCTCTGGTTTTGAAGGACTTCACACAGTTGCTAATAATGAGCCGCCAGCTGTGTTCGGGTGAATGAAGCACTTGAGGATTAAATACTCATTGTTTCTCTCAGTCACAGACCTGGAGTTTTTTCTTTTTTCAGTCTTAGATCCACCCTGTCAATTTAAAGGAGTCTTTTTATTGTGGGTAAGTAAAAAAAATACAGCACAAGAAAAAAAAAAGTAAAAGTTTGAGCTTCCGTATGCTCTCTCCTTTTATAAAGTTGTAAGAAAAGTTTAAAACTCATCATGTTGTAACTCCGTGGCCATATCGTTCATATGACTTAAGATCATACATTTCTTTCTCTTGAAACATTTGCTGATGGTGAAATACTAAACCCAAGATAAACACAGACCATTTGAGGCGATGTTGTTTTGCGTGTCACGGCGTCAGCGCCACTTTTCCCACACAAATCTCATTAGCATATTAGCATATTAGCATCCCTCTGATCTCCAAATGCGCCTTCTCGTTGCATTTCCATACACTTTGGAGGCCGCAGATCCATGCAGTTTGATGTCTGACCCAATCTGCATCTTACAGTTATTAACTTGTTATATTTTTGCCCTTTTTCCTCTTCACAGAAATTAGAATCCAGCACAGCGCGTTGACTTGACAAATGTGCAGACTGAATCACAATGATCTGTTTGCTGGCGCACAAAGTTTACAAAGCAGAGAATAATCAGGATGTTCAGGAGAGTGTGGAAGGATTGAGATGAAAATTAAAGTTATTTTCCTTTTAATGATGTGATCACAATTGGATTCCAAAACGATTCAGTTAGTGATGTTGAGTTTTAGAGTACGACAATCAACAAATAGCAGGTTTTAAGGCTGTAAAAGCCCTCACCACACTCTTTAGACACTTTTCTAACCACCAGTACTCACGACTGCTGAGCGCTACTGCAGCTGTCGAAAGCTGTGCACACATGACTGTCACATACAGCTGCAGAGGACACCGCGCTGAAGTGATGTTTTTGATAAAAGAATTGAAAGCAGCAAATTCAGCTTTGAGCTTTTTGAGAAATATGATGCAATTTCAGCTCACTTTTTTGAGCAGAGTTCCTCTTCAGTCACCGACCGGGAGTTGATTTACATTTAAAATGTATCGCCCATAAATTAGTTTTGGTGATTTCTCAGATGACATGTTATTCTTTACAATCCGATATCGGCATTGGCTGACGGTAATTTTCAAATACACAAAACAAAACCTAAATTCACCGCCTCCCCCCTGTGGTGTCCCAGTTACAGGTGGTTAGCATTATCTACCCATGGAACTTGTTTTACCATATTTTCTACTTTTATTATTATTTCACGTTCTAAAACATGGAATGCAAAAGATGGATAGATACTTTGTGGATCCCTGTAGGAGAAATTCCCAGCAGCAGAAACAAATCCATCCAAAAGACAAATATATAAATAATTCTATTCAGCTAATCCATTCAAAAGTAACCAGTCTCATAATAATTTTAAGTTGACGTAACCATATAAGGATTCATCATAGCGTACGAAGTTCAAAATACCAAGCCATTTCATGTTGCTTACAAATGAAAAGTCAATTTTGATGGGGGCCAAATTTCTATACAAATAAAGATGTATTGTTATTATTATTATTATAGTTTGGCGGTAGTTCCGGTTCCACACTCCCCCCTTCCCTCCCCCAGCCGCTCTCATTACGTGGTGGTGGTGGTGCAGTTCAGTGCGCTCAGCAGACCCTGGGAGTGACAGTGAAGGAGCCGTGTGGAGAATGGAGCAGCGCATCATTAAAAGTCTGCGGTGATGTGAGTGGAGTGTGTTTACGCACTCTCAGGTGAGGGCCGTGTGTTCAGGGGCCACAGGGGACAGCGCTGTGTGGAATAATGAAGAGAGCACGGTGGAAACAAGGGAGCAGGAAGAAAGTACCTGTCTGCTGCCGGAGACACACACGTATTTACCAGTACGGATAAATACATAGTTTTGTACTCGTGCAGCTATAACATTTCTAATTATTTGTGTTGGAAAAAAATATTTTGTAAATTTATTTCTATTTTTAAAAATATCATTATTATTAGTATTTTTATCATTATTATTATTATTGTGCATAAGATTGTCTGTGTCACACGTGTTACAGACAAGAGATTCTGGCAACAAAAGTATGATTGTACTGTAATTATACTGACTTTATAAACCACTTAAAGAACATAGTAAATGCGGTCCCTTTAATAACATAGTACATGCGGTCCCTTTAATAACATAGTGCATGTGGTCCCTTTAATAAAATATTACATGCAGTCCCTTTAATAAAATATTACATGCAGTCCCTGTAATAACATAGTGCATGTGGTCCCTTTAATAACATAGTACATGCGGCCCCTTTAATAACATAGTGCATGTGGTCCCTTTAATAACATAGTACATGCGGTCCCTTTAATAACAAAGTATATGTGGTCCCTTTAACATACATGTGTGCGACCCCTTTAATGGCAAACCCTGTGTAAACGCCTCTCCTTTTTATCCCCACCCTCTCCTCTTTCTTTCTTCTACACAGTATTATCTTGTCTCTGGGTAATGTGTGCATATCTCTCTCAAACAGCCAGAGGTGCGTTGCTCAGGGGCACAGCAGCAGCCTCACGTTACCGCTCGCTGTGGGGGGAATGTGCACAGAGCATTACAAGTATTAGTGTCTGAAAATGAAGAATGTAGATATCCCGGGGCGCCAGGTCTGTGTGAGGCGAGGAGAATGTGAAGCGCAGAGTTTCCAAAAAGTGTCTTTCTAAAGTATTTACAAATAAATAATGAACGCTTTTATCAGTGTCGGAAATATGGACTTTTAGGCAGAATGTTCAGACTGACGTGTTCTTGATTTCAGCGCAGATGGAGTAGTTTTTCATCAAGAAACAAATTGAAAAATACACTTTTTTTTAGTCGTCTTGAGTCTATTATATTCATGTTTATATAACCAGAGCACCTGGAGGAAACCCATGCAGACGAAGAGAGAATGTGCAAACCCCCAGTCTTTGTTCTGTGGCGAGAGCTCTCACCAGTCTTCCACTTGCCCCACCTGGTTCCTCAGAAGTCTGTTTTTAACACATATTTTCTATACGTGGACACTAATCAAAAGGTACAGGTACCTTGACTCTACCACATATTATTTGAGTCGTTCGCCTGCGTGTTTGTGATTATGCCTTCTCCTTTATGTTTTCCAAAGCACTTTCTGGATGATTCTTAAAAGAGCTTCTCTGCTTTTGTTCTCACATTTGAACACTGTCTTTGAACAAAACTACAAGTGCAAAAACAACACTTTGAGTAAAAGTACTGACGTCACTCCGTTACGTAAGTCGAAAGAAATGGTTTATAATTTTGGGGATAAACACTTTCACAAAAATGTTTACTTTGTTGAGTAGATACAGACATTTGCAGATATTTAATATTTATTTGCCATTAAAGGGGAAATCAGATGTATTGTTTTAATTCAAGCACCAGTTAGATCCACCCCCACAGCTTCCTGATTGGACACTATGAATTCTGGTCATAGATAGACAGCCAGCCATTGGTTTAACAAAACATTGTGTCTGATGAAGGGCCTCAGCCTGAAACGCTGCTACGTGGTCTATAAATAAAATACACTTATTGTGATTTTTTTTCACTGTTTTCACATTTTGCACTTTTTTAATCCCGCTAACTACGACTACAGGGATGTGGGGCCTTATTTGAAACCTTCTTTAACTATCAAAACACACACAAGCCCCTGCACACATGAACTTCTGAATGAACTTATTGCGGCAAAATGTTTGTCCGATGAAGCTAGAAATTTACAAATACAGTGTATGATCAATCATCACATTTAAATGTTAATCAGTGAATACATTATACATATACATTCTAAAAACACGTTCAGGTTTTTAGAATTATCTGCTAATGTTTTCATGACAAAAATACTGTTTTAATTGCAGAAGATCTGATTATCGATTTAGGCTAAGTTTATAAATGGGTCACTCACTGCTGAGGTTCAGAATTCTTTGTTCAGTTTTCATGTAGTGTGCAAGTCACTATAATAATGATAACAGAAAATCATTTCTGGGGCCACTCAAAATAGTCTCGCAGTCCGGATTTGGACCCCGGGCCTGAGTTTGACACGCCTGGTCTATGGGCTTAAGAAAATACCGCATTTTGAGGCTGATTGACAAAAACAGACAGCCAGATCGCCACCTCTGCTCCTACATGACTGAGTTGCTCCGTGGCGGTTTATGCAAATGGCGTCCCCCTCCACGCACGAGGCGGTGACTGAGGGATGGCGTGGAGCGTGAAATGGGCTCCGCCGAACGCCTGAGGGAGCTATACGTGTTTCATGCGCCGCACATCTGAAAACTCTGGTTCATTTTACATTTCCTTTTGGACCCGAAGAGGGAATCTGCATCCTCCAAACTAATGAGAAGCTAATGGTGCGTTTAGGTGAAGGACGTGAAGGGAAAAACTACGTGATATGCACTTTTGTTTTGGTTTGCTGGAGAGAATGCAGAGTTTGGTCTCGCGGCCGCTCAACTTGAAAATCGCTGCCGCATCTTGCAAGAATTTATTTTGAATGTGCCAAATGAAACACACACACACACAAAACCAGCAAAAACCAATTCCGATCATATCTCAAAACCAAACACGAGGGAGTAGAAGTACAACCCTTACGGTAACACTTTAGTTTAGCACTCACTAATTAACAGCAAATTAAGTGCTATTTAGTGTATTAATGTATATACCCAGATGTGTATTAACATTCTAACAAAATTGTAATTTCTGGCTAATGAGTAGTAATTAACAATGAATACATGGGAAAGTGTCAGTAGTTAGGTAGATGTTGAATAAGGCAATGTAGAATAAGACTAATAAGTGCTTAACAAATATCAATTAAGAGCTAATTAACCATATATGAATACACTAATTAGCACTTATTTTGCTATTAATTTGTGAGTGCTAAAATAAAGTTATCAAGATTATTTTTGTCACCAATTTTTGCTTTATTGGCAATTAAATACCACATGTGTTACATTTAAAATAAATTCTGCCAAGTTGCTGTTTGTTTTATAATGACTAAATAAATCATGATTTTTCAGATTATGGTGTACAGTCCATGTTCAAAAGATAATTTGAGACGTTTTATAAAGTTGTGTACCAGGTATCAACATTATAACTATAATAAAGGCTTAATATATATTACTTAGTGTGCCATTAGTTTGCCGTATATTACTTTTGACATCACATTGTAAGCTGTAGGAAAGTTGAACTACAGTATTTAATGAATTAGTTTCACCTTTTTTAATACTTCTTATAGATTTCAATAGCACTTGTACTTTGAATTTATCCTTCAAATGATTCCACAGAACAACTTGAGACACACGTCGATTTGAGTGCCGTTGATTATCAGGCTGTTTCATATTTAATTTCCTCAAACTATAATCCTCATTTTGCATGTGAATAGTTTCTGTACGCTCTCAAGAAGTTATTTTTTATCACATTTATACAATAATAGGGATGTATTCTATACCAAGTCTATAATATTTGTAGAAGGATTACCTCTGATTTACAACAACTGAGATGTTTGGTGGAGATAATAGTCCAGAAGCCAAAGCGTGTTCGTTATGGCTGCAGTTTTTTGCGAGAATTGCGTTATTTTGTTAACGTGTGAAAACAGCTCTTATATCTTACAATCACTTTCCTGTTGTTCTTATTTTGTGTCGTGTTGGAACTGAACTCCACCTGAGCTCTCTTCATCCTCAGTCATGGGCTTATTGGTTAAAGCAGTGGTTCCCAAAGTGGGGGTCCCGACCCCCCGGGGGGTCGCGGGAACCCCTGGGGGGGGGTCGCTAGATGATTTCCAAAAAATAAAAAATAAAAAAATAAAAATTTAGCTAATTAATAGCCCTTAAATATTGATTTAGCATTTGATTTGATTCAAAAGGACTACTTGTTAAATTGTGTTAGGAGAATATAAAATATTTAAATTACGTTTGTAATTTTGTCCAGTCATTGACAGCGTCAATCAAAATCAAGTTACGCAGCTTACGTCACGCAGCGACAAAGCGTGTCCTGCTGTTGTTTGCTAAAACTAAAGGTGTTTGGAGGCTTCAAACAAATAATACCTGCTTTAAAATGAAACGTGGTTAATAATCACAACAGAAAAACCCGGAGGGGGAGAAAAGTCACATGTGAGGTCAGGCTGATGGTGCGAAGAGAGGGAGAGAGGGCAGCGGAGGGAGAGAAGGCAGCGGAGGGAGAGAAGGCAGCGGAGGGAGAGAAGGCAGGGGTAGAACAGCGCGGTAAAGAGGCCCGGCTTTTCGGAGTCAGTGGTAAAGAGGTCCGCACATTAAAAGCGGGTGGCTGCTTTATGCTGTTACTTACAGTAACTTTGGAAAAAGAAGCCGCGGGGATGAACTGCATAAAGTAACAGCAGAAAGCGGCCGCCCGCTTTTTATGTGCGGACCTCTTTACCGCTGACTCCAAAAAGCCGGGCCACTTTACCGCGGTATGAGAACAGAGAGGGCGAGCCGCAAGAAATGCGCTCCACTTCTGCTAAGAAGGGAGCCCACCAAGCCCATCACTGTGTCACTACATGAGTAAAAATACGCAAGCCTCCTTTTTTGGGCTGGACAGTGCAGCTCAGTAGTGGCGCGAGTCTCTGCGTTACTCCGTATCAAGGAAATACATGCTCATTGACGGGAAGGACTGTTGAGGTGGGGGGTCGCGGGGGAGCAGCGCATTTATGATGGGGGTCGCGGGCTAAAAACTTTGGGAACCCCTGGGTTAAAGCACTGATTAGTCCTCTCCGTTTGGCCAGTAAGTTTAGGAAGACTGCCGTGTCTTGATAGGTTTGCAGTGGTGACCATAGATTTGAACCATAGATTGCAAAAATTTAAACGATGTGGTCACGCCTATCTCCTTTGTGGAATCTAATGTACGAGCACTTTTGCCTTCTGTGGGAGATTTCAAAATGTTCGCGGGGGTTGGAAAATATTGAAAAAATGCATATGCTCATGTGTTAGCCGGCACCAGCCCCATTCATTACAAGTGCATTGTAAAGTCCATACCAGCTAAACCAAAAAAAAGAAAAAATACCTTCAGCAATGATTCACATCTGGACCGTAGCGTTGGGCCAAGAGCCGACTTTTGCGCCATCCTGTAAAGCCATTTTCAAGAGGCAACAAAACGGCATTGGGTAATTCTCTTTCTGGGTACACCCCCACCAGCTGGGAGGGAGATTGCAAGCATGTCAGCGCACGTGGTTTGAACTGAGATTAGAATACACAAGTGGACTCTACTCCATCAACAAATGGTCTTTCTACCAATCTAGTGTCCTCAACCACAGTCAGTCCTAACTCAAGCAGCTTTGTTGTATTTGTGGTATTTTCTTGCAGCGCTGATGTGGCCTCTTGTATGAGCCCTTAATGATCGTGACTGTTTTCCTGTTGCAGACGGACTGCTCCAGCGACAGTGAGAGCGAGGATAACTTCATCGTGGTGCCTCCTCGAGACCATCTGGGCCTGGCCATCTTCTCCATGCTCTGCTGTTTCTGGCCCCTGGGCATCGCGGCCTTCTACTTCTCACAGGGGGTAAGAGCATTGCACTTCTCACAGGGGTAATAGACTTTGCAAAGAGGGGTAGGAAAGTGAATTTGCTGAAGCATGGGCCAAATGACATACAGAAAGAGACATTATGCATTTACTATCGCTTTTGGAATGTGAAAGTAAAAAATGTGTGGAAAAACATGGATAAAAAAAAAGGATATAGTCTCCATGTGGTGGTGAAAGTGGGAAATATCCTGTTACGTAATGGAAATAATGTTTTCTTAAAAAAGTCAGATAACAGCACTGAGCACAACGTCCAAATGGAAGGTTTTATCAAAGTGAACGAGAATAGCGTGTTCATCACCAGTCGTTGTTTTTTTATTTTTTATTATTTTTTTCAAGGCAAGAAATTGACTCAAATATCAATATTTTTCAATATGGGTAGGTGGTATGTGTGTGTGCAGTGAAGTTGACAAGCTGTGGAACCCCCTTGAAAAGGAGATAATTCATTGTTTACACACTGAAAAACGTCAAATAGTGGTACGAGTTGTTTACCAAAAGTTTTTTTTTGCTTGAATTTAGTTTCTTTTACTAGTTTTAAGATTATAATACTTCATAATCTTATTAGAGAAAAAAGTCTGAGATGTGAGTTTTTAATTAAGTATATATTTTTTTCCGGACATGGCATAACTTATAAAGCAGAAGCACATATGTCTCTTGTACAGATTTTTAGTGGGCTGTAATGTCATTTAACCAAAACTGTTCTTTTCAAACTGCGTCAAACAGTGACTCAGCACAGATTTGATTTATTCTGAACTCCTTTACCAATGCAGTGTGAACTCTCTCCTTTTATGAACGTCACTTAGACGGCAGAAGAAAATCTGTCTTATTTGCCAAACATGAAATTAAGTTTGAATCAATTCTATTGCTTTGGGATACACAATGGACTGTACATGCAGCGCTGTTTCAGCACCATGGACAGCACCCACCACAGCTGTTACCATTTTGAGGTTTGCATTATTCATATTAATTTTGTCTCTTAACATGATCACAATATTATAATGGTTGCTTTGGCTTTTCAGGTTTTAGAATGTGAAATTATGTCTTGAGTGGATAAACATGATACATGGAGAGGACAAGATTGACATAATTTTGTTATGACTTTATCCTGAGATCCATTTGACATAAAGAAACATGCAGCCCTTATTATTGGTCAGGTAATACCCCTACAATGATTTTCAATTATTAATTATTTTAAAAACAGAGACAGAAGCCAACAGAGAAACAACGTCTCAAAAACATGCAATCTTCCTGCAAAGTCTAAAACACTTCAGCACCACGGACAGCTCAGTGATGGAGAAGAGACAGGCAAATTCCAAAATAAACACATTTTTTAAACTTGACATTGCTTTAGAGACTGTTTCAGCAGATACAGACTTTTACACGTATCAGACCTATAGACTGAGCTCAAGTTTATTTACACACATTTTCCTTTTTTATAAATATTTGTGTTTGTCCCAATAGATTGTCATTGGTTGCTTTACTGTGAACAAGTCAGACTGCACCATATTGTTGGGCGCAGTGGTTCTTATGGCACCCCCTTCTTCTTCTTCTTTCCTCTTCTCTGTCAGCATCACTAATAATGTTCTTTGTTGCCCTCAGACTATTACAGTAGCACTCACTTCCCCACGTGTTGGACATCACGTCATTGTGTAGCGGAACGAGGATTAGACATTTGGTAGCGCGGCTTTGATCTGACATCAGGACCCAGCGCTGATGCGGAGCTGCTCTGCTTTGAGGGCATTAGGTGTTAGGTTCAGGTGTGCACAGCGACGCAGCTTTAGTCCAGACACACAGAACAGAGAGCCACACTATTCGGGCCTGTGGAACGAGTGCATTAGACCAAGATTGTTTGTGTTTCCCCATTATTTCATGATTAGATTCACAAACCCACCATATTTTACTTACTGTATGTCTGAAGGTCCTTTCTACTGGCCAACATCAACATCAACATAAAAAAATTTTGAAAATGGACTGTAAACCATAATCATAAAATAAAACAGACATGGACGTGGCAGAAGTGACTTTAAATTTAACACACATTTGAATAGAATTAAGTCAGAGCGCCTCGGACTCTTCCTCTTTGCTTTCTTCATTGCTTTCCCACGGATCCTCGAAGAGCACCTGACTTCTCACGTTCACCCTGTATCATTTTTTTTTTTTATCCCCGTATGCACTTACTCCTCTTGTGTTTTTACATTCAGTATTTAATTGCTAATAAAGAAAACAGCAAAGGTTACGAAAATAAGTTTTTTTCCTCTACTCACTTGTGTTTGTATATCAGATATCATCGGAATTGGCTGCTGCTTGTGTGTGTGTGTGTTTGTTTTATTTGGCAAAAATAAAGTCTTGCGAGATGAGGCAGCGATTTGTTGAGCGACCGCAAACTCTGCATTCTCGAGCAAAGCAAAACAAAAGCGCATTTCTCGTAGTATTTTAGCTGCAATGATTTCCTCATCAAGTCCTTCACCGAAACGAACCAATAGCTTCTCATTAGATTGGAGGGATGCCGATTCTGTCTTCTCGACACCTTCATGAGGGCGGTAATTAGACCATAGTTGATATGCAGCCAGCGGAAATTCAATTTGGTAGACGTCAGCCAAAGGTAACCCCTCCAGGCCGGTTCTCATCCCCAGCCTATCGCACGGCAAACGCCCCCTTCCAATCACCGTACCGGCCAGGCAAGCCGCTTAAAAGCAGAGGAACTCCCACTCTCGGCCTTCTCGAGCCTGCAAAGAATCGTTCTGGAGGAATCGCTTGTCTACTCACGCTTACTCGTTGCATGTGTCCCTGCTGTCCTCTGTCTTGCTGCCTGTGGTCTGCTCCTCTCCGCGTCGCTGCACCTGCTGCGGGTCTCGCGCTGTGGTCCGTGGGTCTTTGCCGCTCTCCTCCTTGCGGGCTCTTTCTGCGGGTCCGCCGCTGCTTGTCTCGTCGCGGCCTGCTGCTGCATACGGCCGGTCTGGACCGGTGCGGTGGGAGCTGTGCGCATCCCTGCCTCCTCGTGCCGGTACGGCGTGGTCCCGTTGTGTTGTCCCTTGGTTTCTGGCGTCGTGGGTAAGTATGAGACCTGCGGACGGTTTATTCCCCTCGCATTGTACTGCAGGCTCAGTTGGCCCGTGCATTGGTGTGCAAGCTTCAGTTTAAAGCCCTCGCATTGTTCTGCAGGCTCTCTTAACCAAGCTCCGTCTAAATCCTTCACTCTGACTGCAAGCTCCGTTATTCCCCACATTTGGACTGCAAGATCTCAGTTTAATCCCTCACATTGGACTGCGTGCTCAGTTTTAATCCCTCACTTTGGCCTGCAGGCTCCGTTTAAATCCCTCTCTGGACTACGAGCTCTGTTTAAATCCCTCTCTTGGACTGCAAGCCCCGTTTAAATCCCTCTGGACAGGAAAAGAAGAAAAATATGGTACTGCTCATATCTGGAACGCTTATATATAAAAAAAAATATATATATAAATAATTATAAATAAATATAAATATGAATAAATATAAATATAAATAAATATAAATAAATACATAAATAAATAAATAAATAAATAAATAAATAAATAAATAAATAAATAAATAAATAAATAAATAAATAAATAAATAAATAAAATAAAAAACTGCAGGCTCCGTTGGATCCCTCACACTGGACTATAGGCTTCGGTTTAAACTCCTCACTTGGACTGCGGGTTCAGTTAATCCCTCACTTGGACCAAAAAAATGCGCCCGCCCGAGCATCCACAGCCCCTTCCCTCCAGCGCCCTTCTCCCTGCAGTCCGCTACCATGGACCACGCGATCAGGTTGATAAAGACTTTCGGCCCCGGCTCCTGGCTCTCCAAGGCCGTCATCCCGGACGCGTTCAAGCTGCTGCCATCCACCCCGACCACTGGCGCTGTTCAGGGGTCAAGTGGCGTCGGAGTTCTTCTTCGCAGTGCGCCTCACCGTTGACTGCCGGAGTAGTCCCTCTCTGTTCAACAATCTCTCGGAGGCGCCGTGTCGGATTCTGCTTAATTACGCGCGGCTCCCCTCTGTCTGCATTTCCCCGATAATTCCCTCGTAGTCAACCCACCCTCAGACTGCTCCGGGGGCTCTGTCCGCAAGCTCAGGCCCGCCTTCTCTGCCCTCGGATTCCTCCACTCCGGAAAGACCACAGGCCCCGCCAACGCTCTGGAGTTTCTCGGCATCCGCCTCGACACACGCGCCATGGAGGCCTCCCCCCCGCTGGACGAGCTCGAACGCATCCGCGTTTCTCCCGGTCTGCCTTGGCCTTCCCGTCACTTCGAGGGGTCCTTGCTCTCCCTCCTCGGGCATCTTCATTATGCCGTCCGTATCATTCCCCAAGGTCGTTCTTTTAATTCCAGACTCCTCTCCCTCGCCGGCTCCGTCTCCTCCCTCAAAGATGCTGTCTGCCCGGACGCGGGGCGCCGCTCCGACCTGGCGTTCCGGTCCCGTCTGCAGAGCCGCTGGGATGGTGTATCTCTTTTTTTTTTACAGTGACATCATCCTGTCTCAGATGCCCCGCGGTTCTTCACAGATGCAGCCCCGTCCGTGGGTTTTGGGGGTTTTCCAGGACCAGTGGTTCGCCGGGCCCCGGCCCGACGCTTTCCCTCGAAGCATCTCCTCCGCGCTCCACGAGATATATCCCATGACCGTAGCCTGCGTGCTGCGGAACCATACGTGGCATAGGAAAGGATTTCCGTGTCGTGCGACAACCTCGACATCATTGAAATAAATAACAGAGGTCGTTCATCCTCTCCCCAAATCACATCCTCCTTAGACGCATCACATGGCTCTCAGTCCTGAACATTTATCATCACTGCTCGTCACGTCCCTCGTCACCTAACTGTCTTGCTGACTCTCTCTCTCGCTTTAAATTCCAGGAGTTCTGACGCCTCTGCCCTTCTGCCAATCTAGCGCCATGCCAGATCCCCTGCACGGATTCCCTCGCCCTGGTCTAGTCCCTCCGTCTCTTCACCTTCTCTCCTCCGCTGCATCC